AAGGAAACACCTGATCTCTGGCTTCTACACACACACACACACACACACACACACTCACACACACACCACATGTACATACACATGTACATACACACAAATAAAGAGAAAGAAGAAGGAAGGAAGGAAGGAAGGAAGGAAGGAAGGAAGGAGGGAGAGGTAGGGAGAGGAAAGGGGGACCAGAAGGAAAAAGAGGGAAAGAGTAGAAGATAGAAAGGATGGATAGAGGAAAAGAAAAACAGAAAAGTAAAAACAGAAAGAAACAGAAACAGAGAGAGGAAGAGAATTTACTGTGGTCTTCCAGGACACCTGGGTGTTCAGATAACTCTGGGCTTTGCTTTTTTTTCAATCATCACAAGTAGCACTGCGTGCCACCCAGGTGAACATGAGCACTGCTCCAGAGCTGGGTGGTACTACAATCCTGACCATGAACACCTTTGTGATGAGGTCACCTATGCTAGTGCATCAGGGCCAGGAGTCTCTCAGCAAAAGGCACTTTTAAAGTGGACAGGCAAAGCAGGCACTCTGACCTCGTGTAACTAAGCCCCAACTAGGAAACCTGGCTCCCGGTTTCTGTAGCCATCCCAGAATTCTCCCTACCTGACTCCCCTCAACTTGCTTATTCCTTGTTGTTAAGATGTATTTAAACTCTCTGCTGAGTGATATCCAGACATTTGTAAAGTTATATTTTACATACAGAACTCTGACCTGAGCTCTCATCTCCCACAACTCCAGTTCTCTGCCCTCAGAACCAGCCTGGCACAAATCATACTGCTGAGGTAGCACACAAATACTTGAAAGCTAATTCTTTGACATTTCTGACAGACAGGTACATTAAATAATTCTTTAATCTATTAAAGTCATTACTTCCATTTTAACAAAGAATTTCTTGGGCTGTGCATTGCTAGAAAATGACGATGTCTTCTCGTATCCACCATGTCCCTGCTTCTCTCTCCTGGTAGATGGTTACACCACTGATGACATTGAATTTTATTGGCGCGGCGGGGACAAGGCTGTCACTGGAGTGGAAAGGATCGAGCTCCCTCAGTTCTCCATTGTGGAGCACCGGCTGGTCTCGAGGAATGTTGTCTTCGCCACAGGTGACTCCTGTGTCTACTCCCAGTCCCTTTGGGATGCTGGCTGCACTGGCAGCACGGTCTCCTTGTGAAGCATGCATCCACAGATCACAGGGATGCTTGTTCAGAGCACCATTGTCAGGAATTCGCCATTATATGAGCCCCTTTTGTCTGTATGTAGAGGAGATGGGTACCTGTGATAGAGAAGAGGGTCTACCTGAGAGTGAGGTGCTCTCTGGGACATGCTGTGGAAAGGTATGACAGTAGAGAGGGATGCAGATGGTCAGTGTCTGATGACATAAGTAATACTCACCCATGGTCAGAGAAGAGGCTGTCAGTGGTCTTGGCAGCAAGAAGGAAGGGACAGGGGAGATAGGAGGCGGCTGTTCTCCCAGGAGCTGGCCACCTCCTCATCCTGAGCTCAGTCAGCTTTGGTGATCCAGGATGACGAGGTCCATACTGGGAGGTCCATACTGGTATCCCTGTACCTTAGAACATGGCCTTCTCCTAGTGCTGTCTGGTTAAGGTTGCCCTGGCCTGAGCTTCATTGCCATTTTGTTTCAACAACCCACAACCAGACGGTGTCGTCTGCTCTTCTGTCTGTGTTTACTAAGGTTTGACTAAATTGCTGTCACGTATACATTATAATTTGTGGTACTTTCTTGGTAGCTTTTTATTCTTGGTGTATTCTTTGCATGGTAATTGAGATAATAAAGTGCTTTGCAAACTCTAAGGTATAGCCATGTCTGCAAACTCTGCATTGAAAATGCTAAGTGAAAGCAGAGCTGTCTACACACTTGAGCAAAAACAAGCAGCTCGGAATCAGCCCCAGCCCTGCAGTGGTGTTCATGAAGCCGGTGCTCTGCTCTCTGCCTGGTGCCTGTGGGTGAATGCTCCTGACCACTAGCACCTGCTGCTTCTTCTCCTTCTCTGGTTCATCTCATCTCGGTCGGTGCTGTTTTCCTCTAGGAAGCCTTTTGACCTACTCCACCTGCCGCTGCTAGATTGAGTGGTTGCTGTTTGCCTTCATGTCTACAGGAGGGAACTTGCCCTATCACTGCTTGCCCATCCTGCTCCCACTTTGCTGCCTGCCTGGGCTCAGAGCACTAGTTGTTGACTACCTCCACAGTGGGTTGAGGTTGTTATCCATATCTCTCCTCTTTGCCTCGGCTTCTATGAACCAATGTGTCAGTGGAGACAAAAGCTTGAATTCTTGTCAGATCCATTTCCATGCAGTGCTGGTTAATCCTGTGCACTGGAGTGTCTGTATGGGACACAGTAAAGTGCTCACTTTGGGTGGGTAGTGAGAACTCCCAGAATATCAGGCTCGGCATTAAGAACTGTGCCCACAGTAAAGACAATTGCTCTGTGATGCATTCAGAAAATGATTTATTTATTACTTACACGACTGAGATTTAAGCTGTTCTATGCTCTAAGCCTTATGAGCAAAAGGTCTCCTCTGACTATAGTGGTAGTATTCCCACAAGGGAGTGATCCTGCCCAGGCCTGCCTTTGTCAATAAAGTTGCCTTTGTGGCTGGCAGAGTGCTGTTAGGAAGGTCTGGCTGTATTCTTCAGAAGCCCAGGGAGAGGTTGTGGACTTGGCAGCTTCTGATCCTGTGTTCTTCTCCACATGCTGCCTCTGCCACTGTGTTACCCACATGCACAGTAGAGCACGTCCTAACCATTCTGGAACAAACACACTACAGGGAAATCCTCAAGCTTTCCATAGACTGGCGACGCCGGCCCAGTGCAGCACTGTCTTCTCTCTAGCCCAGTCTGAGTTCCACATTCACCAAGTAGTGCACAAGGCTTCATGGCAGCCAGTTATAAAACCTCTTTCTCTTGAAGAACTTGCACTTTAAAATTATCCTAATTGTCCCATACATGGAGAAATAGTATAACCCTCATCATCTTAAAGATGTTTTAAAGCTAAATGCAATCCTAATTTATTTTCCTTTTCAAGGGGATTGTGAGTTCATGCAAATTGAATCAGTAATCAGGACTGAAAGACTTGATAGCCTAAGAAAAAAGTGCCAAAACAAGAATTAGGAGAGAATAAAAGCTCTGAGAGTTTACTGGGACCATACAGACTAGATGATGATCTCATGATCTCCTTGGGATGTGAACATAAGGCAGAGGGACCAGCGTCTGCAGGGTGGTGGCTGAAGGCTGTGTGACTGGATACATAGGGGAGGTGCCAGCTTGCAAGCTCTCTCACTATCACACAATGGAGATTGTGTGCCTCATTCTCCCTTTCCCATCTGTGGGCAGTGATTCTGATCTATCTCTTGGATGATGCTGCAGGGTTGCAGACTATGGGGGGGAGGGGGGCACACATACAAAGCAGAAAGCAGAGTCATGAATACTACTCACACAGCAGCTGTCATGATGAAAGAGGGGAGGGGCTGGCCTTAGGAACATAATACAGGAGCGTCCTATCCCAGGGGAGTTCTCCTTGGCCCTCAAGGTTGCAGCCAGCAGGTATACATTCAAATGGGTCATTTCTGCAGAAGAGATAATTGAATATTTTCCACTGAGGAAAAAACACATAAATAAGTAACATCCTATACTCTAGCATTTAATGTGCTCAAATATCCCAAGTCAAAAGTACAAGGCACTTCAGGAATTTCAGGAAATGCGCACAAACTAAGTGTGTCTAGATTTGGGGGATTCTTTTGACCAGAACTTCGGTATTAATAGTCTAAAGAAATTTGGAGAATGCTGTTCCTGAACATGACTTTTAAACATAATCGCTTAAGTAGAATCAGAACATTTATATTGGAAAAATATTGAATTAGGCAAATATTATATCATAGTTTACTTATGAGTTGTAGTAAAACCATTGATCTCAGCATGAATCATAATACAAGAAATCTTTTCTGTTATTTTACCTAGTTTCTGTTTAGTTAAACATAATGAGTACCTGTTACTGAGGTATTTAGGATATGGCAAAAATATGTATTTCCTCTTAATATCTTTAGATCAAACTGGTTCCAGTTGGTCAAAGAAGGTAATAAGGTAAGAAAGGTACAGCTCAGGGGTAGAACAGTTGTCTACGTGTGCAAGCCCTTGGGTTCCATTCCCAAGGAAAGAAAAAGAAAGAAAAGGTGTGGGGGGGGATTTTTAAGAAATTGTCAAACTTCAATTGTTAGACCTTCAAATTAAGCAGGTAAGACATCACCATGAGGAAAGATTTGACTTTTTCTCATGCTGTAATACTTGATAAAGAAACTTTTATAAAGAGGTTTTTTTTCAATATATATTTTATTGAATTTTTGTTCTTTACATACATCTTAATCATATTTAGAACCCCTCCCCCATCTGCCAACCCCCCCAAATAGCTTGCCCACAGGATTTCATGCATTCTGTCATATATGGTAAGTCCTATAGAGTCAAGTTTGTGTACCCAGTTGTGCCTCAGTGTGATGCTCACATAAACTTAGAGCAATGGTGACAGCATGCACAAGACCCACACAAACTCAATCAGACAAAATCTCAGTATAGAATTGGGGAAATGGGTGGGAGGCCCCAACCTTAGCTGAGGAAGTGTTGTCAGGTGATTACTGCTGGGTGAGGGAGAGTTGGTCTTCTTTAAAGGAGTAATGCTAGGTAAAGAGGTACTTTTAACTTTAATAGCAATATTTGTCATGGTTGGCTTAGGTTTTCAACTTGAAACACCTGGGAAGAAGAAACCTTATTTGGGAAATTTTCTCTATGGGATTTCCTGTCAGCAGGTCCATGAAGGATTTTCTTGGTTGCTGAGTGATGTGGGAGGGCCCAGCCCACTGTGGATGGTGCCCCGCCTACCCCCCTGGTCAGATGGTTCTGGGCTGTGTGAAAAAGGCTGAGCACAGACCAGAGCAGCAAGCCAGCAAGCAGCATTCCTTCATGGTCTCTGATTCAGTTCCTGGCTTCAGGTTCCTGTTCTGCCTTGAATTCCTGCCCTGACTTCCCTTAATGATGGACTGTCACTTGGAAATGTAAAAGGAAATAAACCCTTTCCTCCCCAAGTTGCTTGGGTTATGGTTTTTAACACAGCAGTAAAAAGAAAACGAGAACAATACTCATAACTTTTCTGATAGTTGAACACCTATGAGGGAATAATCAGGTAGCTGCCCTCCACACCAGACGCAGAGCATACTGGTACCAAAAGCCCCCCACATTTTGAATTTCTTCCCCTCTCTCCTTGAAAATAGCCAGTCTTGTGACTATAGCTCATTTTGCCTGTTTCTGAGCTTTGTTTAATGGAGTAGTAGAGTCCAGATTGTTTAGTGGCTTCTGTCTACCTCAGCCTGACATTTGAGACTTGACTCATCGCCACACTGTGCTTCAATGTATTTCCTTTGCTGTGCTCCTGTGTAAATCTGTCACAGTTTATATAACTACTGCTTCTTGTGCACAGGTAGGAATAATTCAGCTGTGAAAAGCTGTGAATATTTGCACAGATAAATGTGAAATGTACATCTGAGAGCAGAACTAGGAATGCTCAAACTGCTTTCTAAAATGGTCACACCAAGGAATACTCACACCAGGTAGCCTGAGGCCCCTCTGCCTCATAGCCTTAGACATTGTCATGGGCATCACGTGCTGGGTATGAGACGCTGTCTTGTGTTTTCAACTTCCATTTGTCCTGTTACTAGTAACGATGAGCACTTTTCTGCTGCCTACTTAGAGATTTTCTTTTATGAGCCATCTGTGTAGGTTTTTGGTAAATTGTTCTTTTCATTAAATCACAGAAACAAGTGTGCTATACATTTTGTGACTGGTGTGCACTGTAGGTCAGCTTTTCCCTCTTTCCTAAGCATTATTGCTCTGTAGGCAGCACCCTGATCACAAATAGTTTGCTTGTGTGGGGGGTCTGCGCTGGGGTTTCTGTTCTGCTCATTGGCTTATTCATTCACCCTTGCAAATTGCAGTACTCACTCTATGTGGCACATCCTTCTCTCTCTTCATTTTTCTTTATTGTTTATTCACGCTTTCATTTCTTTATAAATTTCCTAATCAGATGATTAGTTTTCATTT